TGGCCGAGTCTCGCAGCCGTACAACAATGCAACTATTAATGTAGTTTGACATGCGCTATATGCGTTTTTGATGACACATATGAACAAATTGGCAAACACAATTCTGGCCTTAAAGATTCGTGCAATAACTTCGTTTGTCATATTACCGTTTGATATAATGCATCTCCCCAGGTACGCGTGGCTTTCCAGTATCTCCAATGCTACTCCTTGGATTAATCCAAAGACTACTTCCCGAGGTATGACTTCACACTGAGCGCGAAGCACTTACCCAAGGACTGGATGACCTTAGTCGACTTTGGTAGCAGTGTTTGCGCATCAAAAATGAGAACGAGGTCGTCTGCACACTCAAGATCGACCTTTTATGGTTCGTCTCGTTACCTCATAAATAACGAAAGTGAACAAAAATAGAGGGTGGAGACATCCATATTGGATACCGCTGTTTGCTCCAGAAATTTTGCAGAGCTTCCGATACACCGTCACGCACCCACAAGTATTTGTATACAGGCATCTCATGATATTCGGAAGTTGTGGGTCACACTGTGGCTCAAGCGTGTTAGGGAAAAATAACCGGTCGACAAAATCGAACACACACTTTGAGTCTAGGACCACAAAGGTTACTCAAATGTCGGGGCGTAAAGATGTGGTGCACGCATCCTCTTGCTGACAGGAATCCTGCTTGCTGTTCCCGAGTCTCTTCTTCAAGCACCTTCGCAGGACGAATTGAGATGAGCGACGCGATCGCTGCTGGCTGATGTCCGACTTATTTGAACAATCTCCATTACTCCTTCCGTCTACCTGCCCTTTCTGTACCCTTGGAGCCTGGCTTTGGTCTTCGCGAAGATTCCATTGGGTCATCGACTAGTTTGCTCATTCACCCAGCCTCCTCTCGCTACCAGCGTAGTGACCGACGGACTGCCTACATTCCGTTGCAAATGCTTTTCCTCTCTGAACCGTCCTTCAGTTTAGGTAATTTGTTTACCGTGGTGCTCCGCTCCGCTTCCTACTGTAACTGTACAGTTACGGTGAGGCTACGTAGCCCCACTGCTCTTCTTCGTCCACAATATGCGGAATGGCATTCCCATCAAACCCATTTCATTTACAGTTTAGATTTTAAAAATTACTCGTTCGTAGGTGCCATCTACGAGCAATTAGAGGTGACCTTGGAGCCAGGATAAACCCGATACCGACCGGAAAGTCATTTCATCAAATAATAACAAGAACGATCCTAATACCGTTCCTTGAGGGATATAACCGAATAAAGTCTCATCGACTGCCCTTTCTTACCTGAGCTGGATGGACGAACTAAACTGACTTCAGTCACCCACTTGCCTTTAATCCGTGCGGCGCGTGAGCGTTACTGCGCTCGAGCAATATCGGTGCATATAAACAAACCGCGGGTATCCGACTTCCAATCATCACACGGGATAAAATCGGACTAGGTACTTGAAAACGCGGCCAACCGGCATCTAGTCGCACAATGCATGGACACTGGTTACGTCCGTTAGGTCGCACAAAAAACAGGAAAGTAACACAGAAGAAACTACTCACAAAGCTTTTCACGGATCACGGATCGATACACAGGATCGAGGCTATTGCCAAAGTTTCCCGGGTCGCTTTTGTTCTTGTCGGTCAGTGGCTGTCGTTCACCTGAAAGGCACAAGTGGAGAAAGGGTGTAGCACTGCTATTTATGTTCTCAGCGCGGGGCAGTATGCTTGCCAGCGCAAGGATTCGCATAAACAAATGTCTAATAGTGCTTTGAACTGGGTTCTAGAAGGAGCGTGAACAACCATCGGCGGAAGGTCATTCCACACAGCTACTATCCGAAATGATAAAAATTTTTGCCTAATTGATGTGTGTGCTCTGAGCTTGAAATTTTTCTTACTATGGCCCCGCCGTATGTTTACTGGGTCAACGGTAAAAAACCTGTTTGCCAAATTTTGTTCAAACAGGGCATAAGTAAGAATTAGGTCCCCTCGGAGGCGACGGTATTCCAGGGGAAAGAGATCAAGCATCGCGAGACGCGTCTCGTAGTCCACGGATTTGAGGCCTACAACCATTCTCGTAGTGGCTCGCTGGACACGCTCAATCAGGGGGACGTCTTTCGTGCGTCCTGAGTAGACAACTTGG